GCTATAATTTCCAACATGTAGCTATAACTTAATTGACACCATGACGCAATACAGTATCAAATATGGGTTTCTGTGGGTTCTAAATATAATTTACTAACGCTGATGAAGTTTTGTTTTGTTTTGTTTTATCTCATCTCACCCCCACTCCCAAGTTCGATTGCATGAAGCAGATTTCACACGCGACACGACCAATCAGAAACACTGCGCAGATCTTTGCAGTGACGCGTCACTAGTATGGAATTTCGGCGCTCATTTCTCAGACGTCATTTCGCGGGGAAACCATTGGTGGCGTCGTGAAATCTCTTCTGTTTCCTCAGGCTAATAAAAAAAGAGGTAAGTTAGCCTTTTGAAAGAAGAAACGATTGGCATTATTTTAATCTGGGACTCTACAAAACGCACTAACCTCGACCCTCCCCCCTTCAATCCCGTTCTGCCCTGAAAAATATAGCATGACAGTTGCTGAACGTGACTAATCTGATCTCAACTGAAATTCCAAAACCTTTTGTCGTTCTACGCTTAGAAAACTTGACAAGGTCAACTTTTTGGGTTTAACTGTTGTATTACAGTAGTTTTCTGTTGGATATTGCGTAACTATCCAGGTGAATATGTTTCTATTTCACGGGGCGATTTACAAATACCATATTCCTTTCTTGTCAGTTCTTGTAGAAATAGGAAACTTTTCACCCTCAGGGAGAGGATTGTAACAAGCCTGACGCTTTTCCCGTGGGGACCCTGGGAGGCAGTTGTTTCTGCAGCTCACGCGCAGGCTAACTACCTCATCCGAATACTGTATTTATAAAATCATTCGACTTGGATATAGGACCAATAACTCCACGCAATAATCTTAATTTGTGTTCTTTTCAAATCGACTTCCAAGTCTGTTCGCTAGACGACCTGAAATGATCCGTCCCCTCCCCGCAAAAATCGGCTTCATTGAAGCAGGGATGGGACATGGGACACGCAAAGCCACAATTCAGAAGAATATTGGGACGAGACAGAAGAACATTTGATTACACCAAAGGGCGCCACGCCAGCTTTGTGAAGAAGAAGAACCTTGCCGAACAAATATTACAATTGCCCCTACTCGTGTTTGTAGCTTTTACCACGTCATCTACGAGCCACTAATTTCAAGCCATTCAAAAAGCAAGGTAAGTTGAAGGGGAATCAAAGCTATTCTTTGACCTTTCCTGTTCAGGCTTCCGCTCTACGCAAAAAATTGGTTGAGCTTGTCGTTAAGCCTTTAGGGCAAAAAGCTTTTCCAATCCACATATATGCGCAAGTAGGCTAGTGTTCAGACTGATGTTCTGCCCAAGACTGAATCTTGTTCGCTCAAGATAGGTCGATTCGCCACTTCAGTGCACCTCTCCCATAATGCACTTTATTTGCCCCCCAAAATTTGCATAATCTTTCAGGTTGTTTTTCATTTCTCCTGGGTATTACAGCCGTCCCAAAAGAAATTAAAAATAATGCTTATGCAAAATTTTGGGGGGGGAAATAAGGTGCCTTGTGGGAGATGTGCAAGTGGCGTATATTGGGGTCGTTCTTTTTTTCTTTGGCCCGGACTTCTTACCGGAAAACAAAATGCTAAACTTGCTATAAGTCGACCTTTCATAAGTTCTTAAAAGTGAGCGAAGCGAGCTTCAATGCATGAGGTCGCGCAGCGACCGAGCTCGTGGCATAACCAAGTCTTGTGACATAACCAACCAGGAAAAAATAAAGGACGTCTAGAAATTCTAACGAAATGCAAAAAAGGAATTTGGCCATATATCCAGTCATATTGACCTCACGCTTGGTCAGTAATGCATATTTGAAAGGAATAATGATGAAAGTAAAAATACTCGTCACGCCTTAAAACATTCCACTTTCGTTTTGACAGCCTGTTTCCCGTTGTCATTCCAGCAGAAGCTCAAT